GACAATGTCTTCTGAAATCCCAGGAATCCCATGAAGCCTTACCACTTCCTTTACAAAAATGTGTGCTGTTTCCAGAGCTGACGGCATGCCTTTCAATGGTAGGAAATGGACCATTTTTGACAGGCGATCTACAATTACAAAAATTGCTGAGTGATCTTGCGAAGGTGGGAGCTCCACTATAAAATCTATAGAGATCATTTGCCACGGTCGGTCCGGTATGGGCAATGGTCGTAGTAAATCCCAGGCCTTGCTTCTGGTGGGCTTGTTCCTCTGACAAGTGGCACAGGTTTTTACGTACAGTTCACAATCCTTGATCATGCTCGGCCACCAGAATGTACGCTGGAGCAATTCTAGTGTTTTAGCAACTCCAAAATGACCTGCCAGTGGATGGTCATGGCAGTATCCCAGAACTAAGGTACGGACCTCCTCGGGTACCACGATCTGTCCTTCTTTCCAAAAAAGACCCTCCTTGCTCTGTAGGGAGACCCCGGGTGGGTTTGGCATTCCTATGGATGCGGTCTGTAACCTGGAGCGTAGCTCGGTTTGGAGGGCGAGGAAGTTTCCAGCGGACAGAATAGTATCTGGTTTAGGGGCTTCTTCCAGATCCTCGAACATGCGCGAGAGGGCGTTGGGCTTTGTGTTCTTAGACCCAGGTCTATACGTGATATGAAACACGAATCTGGAAAAGAAAAGCGCCCATCTAGCTTGGCGTGGTCTCAGGCGCTTGGCTGTCCTCAAGTACTCTAGGTTCTTGTGATCTGTGAATATCAAGATGGGATGCGTAGCCCCCTCCAGCAGATACCTCCATTCTTCCAGCACCGTCTTGATAGCCAAGAGCTCCCGGTCCCCTATGTCATAATTCCTTTCTGCTGGTGTAAGCTTCCTTGAAAAGAATGCCACTGGGTGCATAAGTTCCTTGGTACCCTTCCTCTGGGACAGGATTGCCCTCACTGCGTTCTCCGAGGCATTGACTATCAAAATATATGGCAGAGAGGAATCTGGGTGGCTGAGAATAGGGGCTGTAGTAAATAGTTCCTTCAGGGCCTCAAATGCTGCTTGAGCCTCGGTTGTCCACCAGAAATGGACCTGCTTGGTGAGCTGGGTAATGGGAGACACAAGACCCGAAAAGTTTTTAATGAACTTCCTGTAGAAGTTAGCGAACCCATTGAAGCGTTGCACGCCCTTCTTGTCCGTAGGTACTGGTCACTCCAGAATGGCAGAGATTTTCTGGGGATCCATCGCAATCCCCGTGGTGGAGATGATCAGCCCCAAGAAAGCGATGCTATGCTGCTCAAAGCTGCATTTGTCTGCTTTAGTATACAGTCCGTGCTGACGTAAACGCTCCAACACGCTCTTCACATGACCCCTATGGGCCTCCAGGGAAGAGGAGAAGATTAGAATATCATCTAGGTAGATGACCACGAAAATGTCAAGATAGTCCCTAAATACATCATTTATAAAATGTTGGAACGTGGCTGGGGCATTGCAAAGTCCAAAAAGCATGACCAAGTATTCAAAATGCTCGAACCTAGTACGAAATGCGGTTTTCCACTCATCCCCCTCCCTTATGCGGACCATGTAATACGCACCCCTCAAGTCTAACTTAGTGAACACTACTGTGGATTTTAACCTTTGGAACAGCTCTGGAACCAAAGGGAGTGGGTAGCGATTTTTTTACCGTGATCTTATTTAACTCACGGTAGTCTATGCAGGGCCTTAGGGACTTGTGTTTTTTTTCAACGAAAAAGATTCCAGCTCCGGCTGGTGATGTAGAGGGGCGAATTAACCCTTTTTGGAGGTTTTCGTAAATGTACTCCTTGAGTACCCCCTGTTCCCACTCAGATAGAGGGAATATCCGTCCGAAAGGGATCTCAGATCCTGGTAAAAGGTCAATGGGACAGTCGTATGTCCGATGTGGGGGAAGGATGTCTGCCCCCCCCATTTACTAAATACGTCAAGAAATCTGTGGTAGGCTGAGGGAATGACTTGAACCAGCTCGGCGTCTCCGTCCATACATAGGAGGGACTGGGGAGCTGAGGAGGTCTGGGCGTAACAATGTTCCTGGCAGTACGGTGATTGAAACTGGATAGACCCGGTTTTCCAATCAATCTGGGGATTGTTTGCCCGCAGCCAGGGGAGCCCCAGAATAATTGGGAACAGAGGGGATGCAATGGCATCCAGACGGAGGAACTCCCGATAATGGCCAGCCACCGTAGTGCAGATAGGTGGGGTCTCCCAGTCCACTAACCCTGATTTAATGCATGACCCATCAGCTAAAACAATGTTTAACCCACGTTCCCTGGTCTGGAGGGGAATCTTCTGTTAAGTTGCAAAGTCTATGTCCACAAAACAACTACATGCCCCAGAATCAATGATTGCTGTCACTGACACGGTTCTTCCTGGAAGCTGGAAAGAAACAGGTATGGCTAAGTAGTTTGAATGGTTAGACCAGTTAGAGGACACAGTGGAAAAAACAGAAGCACAGTTACTCAGTTTTGCTGGACACGAACGTACCACATGACCTGCTTCCCCACAATAGAGGCAGAGGTTGTTCACCCGTCATCTCTGGCGTTCCTCGACTGACAGTGATGGTCGTGCCAATCCGAGCTGCATGGGTTCTGGTACATCATCAGACTCCGAATTCCTGCTTCCCCCTGGTATGGACTGGAACGGAGCACAAGGGAGTACCCATGTCGGTTTCTGACCCTGGCTGGACCTCTCTAATCTGCGTTCCCGCAGTCTGCGGTCAATCTGTATGGCCAGAGCGATGAGATTCTCTAAGGAGTCGGGTAGGCCCACTCTGGTTAACTCGTCCTTAAGGGACTTGGACAAGCCCATGCAGAATTGGTGGCGTAGAGCAGCATCAATCCATTGGGTGTCTCCCATCCAGCATCTGAACTCTGACGCATATTCCTCTGCTGCCCGGTGACCCTGTCTGAGTGAATACAGGGCCATTTCGGCTGAAGCTGCCTGCTGCGGATCATCATATAGAACGGCCATCGTATATAAGAAATCCGTTACTGTCTCCAGATGAGGGTCGTGGGTCTCCATTAATCTGTCAGCCCAGCCCTGGGGCTCGTCTTGTAGTAATGAGACAATGAACCCCACTTTCACAGCCTCGGTGGAGAATGTCTGCGGTTGCAGACTAAAGTAAAGCTGGCACGCGTTATGAAAGGCCCAGAATTTCCCTCGATCCCCATTGAAACGTTCCGGTAATGGTACGCGGGGTTCCAGTGGGGGTAATGAGACCACTGCTCTGGCAGGAGGTTCTGAAGGCTCTCCAGCCGCAGAAGGAGTAACCGGGTTCTGGGATGTGGCGGCTGGTGAGGCTAATGTTTGGATGCGGTTATTGAGGTGCGTGTACCCCTCCTGTAGTGTTTTGACGGCTTGGGTCAGAGCCGCCAGATGTTGACATATATCCTTCAGTGGGGATGGTCCTCTTCCAGGCTCAGTTATGGCCGTATGGTTCTGTAATGCACCGCCTGGTGGTACCTCTATCAACCCACGGGATAGGGTTCCCCAGAGCACGGAGTCTAAGTCCTAGTCTGCTTGTTCACCAGGGCCCCTGATGGTGGGGATGGACTTGGAGCAGACAGAGACCAGGTCGCAGCCCCTGAGTACACCCACCCCTGGTAGAGGGATCCGCCAGAGGTATATACTGGAGAAGAGCCTGACGTGAAGAGGCCGATAGGTCCGTGCAGGACGGATGGATGGCAGAGTAGAAGCGTGGTCAGACAGGCCGGGTCGGTAACGGTGGGGACAGCGCGGTACAAGGCAGCAGGCACAGAGTAGTCAGGTCACTCACTGGGTCAGTAAAAGGAGGTCAGATTCAATGAGGGTATCCAAAAGAGAAGTCAAAACAAGCCAGGGATCAGAGCAGGAGAAGTCAGCAAGGTCAGGATCAAGCAGGGTCGGCAGCAATCAATAACAGGTACACAGAAGCAGGAACAGGGAGATTAGACCATACGGCAACCAGTGTCAGTGCAGAGTGGATTTAAATAGCGCGGGCCTGCACTGTTAGTGGTGCCAGGCGCGCGCCCGTGAACCCGAGTGCACATGAGCGAGTGCCGCTGTCGTCGCGGGACGCCCAGGACCTAGTGCCCGCACGCTAGTGCAAATCGACACACTGCGCCTGCGCAGAGCCGCACGCCGCGATGGTTGCTGACACCTCCAATAGCCAATAAGATTACCCCCCTATTAAAATAGGGGTTCTTACACTGCTGCCACGGACCCATGAGTAAAGGGGGGCCGACAATAGCTAAACTCCCTTTTTCTGTCATTCTTATACAATATTTTTATATTATGTTTCCCCTTTCACTATAGCAACACCTTTTACATGATTGTTTTATTCATTTGTTAATATTTTCATCTTCTGACTTTTTATATATCTGTATATTGTTTGTGTCTGTATGATAGCCCTGAGGAAGGGGGGATACTTTCTCCCGAAATGTGTTGGCTTGATGTACTTGTGACTACTCTCAATAATAATTCTTACGTGCATTTCTTCATTCCTAATTTCTTCCCAGTCTAACATGCCAAAACGACATTAACCACTTGCCCTCCAGAGGATTTACCCCCCTTCCTGACCAGGCCATTTTGTGCGTTACAGCACTGCATTAATTTAACTGACAATTGTGTGGTCATGCAACACTGCACCCATATGAAATTTACGTCCTTTTTTTACCACAAATAGAATTTTCTTTCAGTCGTATTTGATCCCCTGTGCATTTTTTATTGTTTGCGCTATAAACAAAAAAAGACCGATAATTTTGAGAAAAAAACACTATTTTTGACTTTTTGCTATTAAACATGTTCAGTAAAAAAAATTCAAAAAATCAAATTTCATCATAAATTTAGGCCGAAATGTATTCTGCTGCATGTCTTTGCTAAAAAAAAAATCCCTATGTGTGTAAATTAATTGGTTTACGTGAAAGTTACAGCGTTAAAAATGGTGGTATATATACTAGGATTTTTATTTTAACTAGTAATGGTCAGTGACTTATAGCAGGACTGCGGGGGGCATTCTGACACTGGGGGGGGAACTGACTTGGTGTCACTGACATCCCCAGTGACACCAATACAGTGATCAGTGCTAATAAAAAGCACTGACACTGTACTAATGGCACTGGGCAGGAAGGGGTTAACATGTGTGTGTTTTACGATGGGGCTGTGTTAGTGCTTTCCACTGTAAGCACACTGCTTTGCATGGCTCTGCTATGCACAGCCATGCAAAGCAGTGTGCAGGAGCTGACAGAGGAGAGAACTGTTTTGTTTATATGCAGTTCTCTCCCTCTGTCGGTAATGCTTCTCAATCACCAGGTGCCGGGACCCAGTGATTGACAGCCGAGTCTGCAAATAGCGAGTAGGGCGAGTGCACGGCTCGTGAACAACCCCTAACCAGAAATGCAAAATCATGTACAGTATATATACGTGATTTTGTGCACCCCTGCCACCCTGTAGCAGTAAAGCAGTTAAAGTGTTACTAAACCCATAACAGCACAATTAGTCTGTATATGCAGTAAAGCATGCTTGTTATACTGTAGAACCTAAGGGGTTAATCTCTGTATTGTGATCCTGACTTCTTTGATCCACCACTTCTTCCAGTGCCTCCCTCTTATCTCCTGATAAGACATTGTGTGGAGACACTCTGCCCATGCTCAGTTTGGTGTCTATTGCCAGAGATTTTTTTTTTCTTGGGAGAGTGCATGTGATCAGCGAATCAGCATTGTCCAGACAGAGGTCAGGGGTCCTCCTAGAGCAGAATGAAAATTGCTCCTACAGGCTTAACCATTACTCAGGTGAACACTGATAGAAGTCACAAGATTGCTCTAACTGCTGATGAGAAAAAGAATTTAGCAGTTCATAGTTACTAAAATAAATGCACTTCCATTTTCTGTGTACTGTGGGAGACTAGATATAGTGAATGCAAGGTCCTGGGTTTAGTAACACTTTAAGGCTGTACCAAAAAGGCAGCAGCCCAAGATCCAAGGGGGTTTAGGGGGTTTACAACCACTCTCCACCTTAGTGTACATTTCTACTGTATACATTATGGCAGACTCACCTTTGTGTTTGCCCTCTTCCATCACTTACAGCTCATAGCTGCCCTTTGCATCTGCTGTTTTTTTTTTCACCACTTTTGGGTTTGGCATCCCTCCTCTTTGGTCTTTGGCCTGTGTCTAGTGATATAGCCCCTGTACATTTATACTGGAGTCACATCCTCCCAGCATCAGGCTTCCTTGTTGCCATCTTACAGATGCTGGGAATGGGCAGAGAGTGTAAGAGACACTGAGCATGTGCCTCATGCAGTGTATACTGGATAAAAACTGCTAGTACCAATGGGAAAGCCTATTTCGCAAAGACTCTACCTCCTAACAATTTTTTCTCTTTCACTGCTTGCCCTCCAGAAGATTTACTTCCTTTCATGACCAGGCCATCCAAGGAATAAAACATATATTGCTTATTGCCAATCATAAGATGTAAACAAGTATTACAAATTGTTTGTTTATAAGGGTCCACAGGAGCTAGTGAGTGAGTGGGACCACTGGTGGGGATCTTTGGAAGCTATAAAATCCATTAACAAACAAGTCACAAGGAATTGTTTGCTTGTATGTTATCAGGGGGAGCGCTCTTTCACTTTTCAAAGATTTTAGTTTGTAAGATGCTTCAGTTCATGTACACTATAAAAACATTGTGTAAAATGTTGGTGCTACATATATATTGGAAATATAAATGACAAAGAAGGCTAAAATAAAGTTTATATTTAATTAGGGTTTAATGAAAAACATGTTCTAAGATCATGCTTTGGTGTTTGGAAGATTTAATAAAAAGATACATCTGCACAAGATGGTATTCTTTTAGGCCAGGTAAAATATGTGTAAATGATTTTGAATTTTAGCCAACTTCAAGCAAGTTTGGGATTTGCAAGCTGAATCATGGCATATGATGTCATCAGCAACTGCTATTACTGCAAACCCTAAGACCACGATGGCTTCCTAAATTAGCTTTAATGGCTATGCAGAACCACTTATCTTGCTAAGATTCATATTTATAGAGGCTCCCGATAATCCTCAAACCACAGAAGCCACAAACATTGTTTGTTTATGGTATCCCACATCAATTTAACAGATGCTCTTCTGCAATTCTTCGTGAGTCATGAGTTCCCTGTTTGCTAAGCCACAGCAAGAGGATTACTAGGAGATTTCTACAGTTCATGTTGACACAGTGTCTATGGTAATACCCTAACTGGTGCAGTAATACAATAGAGATTATGGTATATAAGGTAGAATTGTTACAAGAGATATAGACAGAAAATAAATGTGTACTGAGTTTTCACTATTTATTCAAAGGCATGTCATGTCATGAGGTTTCTGTCAAAATGTTCCTGTTGAACGTTTTATAATAAACATATTAGTTTTAATCTTTGTCCTTTTACGTACACTAAACAACATTGTCTGCTTCGCATCAGCCCACCCAAAATTCTGGTTGTAGCTATGGATACAACAGGTTTTGTCATCTACCATCTTCATAAAATTCGGAGACTCTCTGTTTGCATTTCTCATTAGTTTAGGATAATAGAGAATGTAGCAGGAGTGAGTCACCATGTAGAGGGAAACCGGCATGGGAGTTTTTTTTTTTTCTCAAAGCTGCTCCATCCAAGACTGACAGTATAAGTAAAGGCATTTAGTTTTGGATAGACTGAAGATTGATTAAAACACCTATCAGGTTTTTGTTGTAGCCTGTGCTCCCGATAGGGAGATTCACCCTCTATTTGTCCTGCTTACCATTATCATCAAACGTGAAAGTAAAAGAAAACCCCAAATTTTGGGCTGTCCCTAAAAGTAATAGAGGAGAAATCTTCCAATGGGGTCACTAGTTCTGGTGACCTCGGAGGCCCCAATGAATTCTCTTAATGTGCAGGGATTTCCCCTCACTTCCTGTTTTGGGACACAGATGGCAAAAAATAAACGAACAGGAGTTATAACCCTCCCTAGGGCTGGTCATACACTATACAATTTTCTATACAATTTCTGCCCAATTTCCTTTAGATTTACTGTCAACTATGTAGTGCAAGGGCCTGCCTAATTGGATACAATTGAAAGTGTTTAGGTTTGACCTCCTATTATTATATGGTTTTCGGTAAATCTAAACCAAGCTCTCAAGAAAATTGTATTGTTATTGCCAGCCTTACTCTATCCAAAATAAAACAAAGTCTTGCCTGTAGTTCTACTTGAGGTTTTTGTATTGTGTACTTCTTTATTACAAAATGTACAGCAGTCACATTTTAGCAGCTCCATGCACACTATAAGCAAAAAAAATGCTAGAAAACGCTGATAATAGTGTTTTTGTGCCAGCTTTTAACAGCAGTTCAGATTTTTCAGGGTTTTTTTTCTGCCGGCAAATCGCTCCCAAAAATGCAAAAAAAAAAGTTTTTTTTCTGCTACTAGAAGTTGAACTTCAAAAACTCCTAAATCGTGTGCATGGACACATATTGTAACACTATTTGCTTCTAGAAGCAGAAAAAAAGCTCAAAAGCATAAGTGGTTGTAAAGGGAAAAAAGTAAATAAATAATTAAAAAAAAAAAAAAAAATAACAAACATGTCTATACTTACCTGCTCTGTGCAATAGAATTGCACAGAGCATCCCCAATCCTTCTTTTCCCAAGCTCCTGGGCTGCTATCAATCTGCCCACTAAGGAGGAACAAATACAGTAGAGCCACAGCTGTCATGCACAGCCCTGGATTGCAAATGGGCTCAGGTAAGTATAAAGTAGGTGTAGCGGAGGACAGAAATATTATTTTTTTGTGTGTTGTTTTGTTGAAATCAACAGTGTGTGAAGCAGTTTTTCTGCTTAAGTAATCTGAGTAATGCCCCGCAGGGGTTAGGAGATCTCCACAGGGAGTGCAGACAGCACAGTGTCCTGTAGCTGGAAAAAAATAGAGGTGCCGGGTGCTTAAAGTGTTACTAAACCCAGATCCCTGCATTCTCTATATCTGGTCTCCCACAGTACACAGAACATGGAAATGCAATTATTTTAGTAAATATAAACTGCTAAATACCTTTTCTCATCAGCAGTGAGAGCAGTCTTGTGTCATCTATCAGTGTCCAGCAGAGCACTGGTTAAAGCTTGTAGGAGGAGTTTTCATTTTGCTCTCACTGTCCTATGAGACTGCATAACCCCTGACCCTCTGTCTGGACAGTGCTGATTGAAAATTGGGAAAGTGGAAGAAGGGGAAAATCAGAGAAGACATGATCAAACATCCTCTTTACACGATGCAGAGGGTTAACCCCTTAAGTTCCACACTGAGCATAACCAGCATGCTTTACTGCATATACAGACTTATTTTACGTGTCAGGGCTCCCGGGTATGACCAGAGGTATGTGAACTGACGCAGGGAAATGCAGGCTTCAGATATGTTATAAACAATATAGTTTATTAACACTAACAATACATAAACGCAGTGCAATACTAAAACATAACACAGTGCAAACGAACCAAACCAAACCACCCACAGATAACAATACATACAATGCAAGCGTTGTCAGGCAGGCCGGGTCAATAACAATCGGGCAGGTAGGAACAGGAGGAGCAGGCAGAGAGTAGTCAGGTCACGAGCCGGGTACAGCAACTAACGGGCAGGTAGGTACAGGGGGTCAGGCAGAGAATGGTCGGGGTCACAAGCCAGGGATCAAACAGGAGAAGTCAGCAGAGGTCCGGATCAGGCAGGGTCAGCAACGAATCAGTCAGACAGGAACAGGGACAGGGACAGGGATGCAGGTAACAAGATACAGGGGCCCATAGAAAAACACACACCAAGGCCCAGACTGCAGGTCTGGCCATCCCTTAAATACACCTGCATAATCAGCTTCAGGTGTTTGGCTGGCTGCAGGGTTGAGTCTCTGATTGCTGGGAGCACCCGCTGGCCAGCCCTGGTACTGCAGCCCACAAGGCAGGTGAGTCCCACCATTACTGGCAACTCCATTCCTGACAGTACCCCCCCCCTCAAGGAGCGGCCTCAGGATTTATTTATTTATTTATTTATTTATCGAGTTTATATAGTGCCAAAGGGTTTGCTCAGCGCTGTACAATAGAGGGGGGGACAATACATGAAACAGTACAGTAACATCAAACAGCACACGAGGGGTTAGAGGGCCCTACTCTTTCGAGCTTACAATCTAGGAGGATGCTCCAAACAGTCCTAGCTGGGCAAAATGTTCCACTGCCCGGGTCTGGTAACTGGCGGGATATCAAAGACTGGCACATCGGGCTGGACTCCGGGCAGCGGCACATCGGGCTGGACTCCGGGCAGCGGCACACCGGGCTGGACTCCGGGCAGTGGCACATCGGGCTGGACTCCGGGCAGCGGCACATCGGGCTGGACACCGGATCACCAGGCAGAGCAGCAGGCATTGGGCCCCAGGCGGAGCGGCGGGCCCCCCCAGGCAGAGTGGCAGGCACCGGGCCCCCAGGAGGGGCGGCAGGCGCCGGGCCCCCAGGAGGAGCGATGGGCGCTGGGCCCCCAGGCGGAGCGGCGGGCACCGGGTCATCAGGCACGACAACGGGCATCGGGTCACCAGGCATCAGGTCATTTGGCTCGCCAGCGGGCACCGCGTCATCTGGCAAGGCAGTGGGCACCGAGTCACCAGGCACGACAGTGGGCTCTGAGTCAACTGGCATGACCGCGGGCACTGGGTCATCAGGTACCGGATCGTCTGGATCGACAGCGGGCACCGGGTTATCTGGCGTTGGATCGTCTGGCTCGACAGCGGGCATCGGGTCACCAGGCATGACAGCGGGCACTGGGTCACCAGGCATCAGGTCATTTCGCTCGCCAGCGGGCACCGCGTCATCTGGCAAGGCAGTGGGCACCGAGTCACCAGGCACGACAGTGGGCTCTGAGTCAACTGGTATGACTGCGGGCACTGGGTCAGACATTGGATCGTCTGGCCCGACAGCGGGCATCGGGTCTCTAGGAATGACAGCGGGCACTGGGTCATCAGGCATGGGACTGTCTGGCTCGACAGCGGGCATCGGGTCACCAGGTATGACAGCGGGCACTGGGTCACCAGGCTTCAGGTCATTTGGCTCGCCAGCGGGCACCGCGTCATCTGGCAAGACAGTGGGCACCGAGTCACCAGGCACGACAGTGGGCTCCGAGTCAACTGGCATGACCGCGGGCACTGGGTCAGACATTGGATCGTCTGGCCCGACAGCGGGCATCGGGTCACCAGGCATGACAGCGGGCACTGGGTCATCAGGCATTGGATCGCCTGGATCGACAGCGGGCATCGAGTCAACTGGCCTAATGGAATCATCAGGCTGGATCAGTTCATCAGGCTGGGTAGAAACATCATGCTGGGTAGAGAGATCAGGCTGAACGGAGGCATCAGGCTGAACGGAGGCATCAGGCTGGGTAGAGGCATCAGGCTGGGTAGAGGCATCAGGCTGAATTGTGGGCGCCAAAGCACCAGGCTTTAAGGTTTGTAAACGGATGGAGCAGCTGGAGACAGAGAAGAGCTGGAGGATGGAACAGGGGAGGGAACAGTTGCTACAGAGGGCTTCTTTACAGGGTTAAAGGCAGGATAGGTGCAGCGAGTGGGAACAGGATACTGACATGCGGTAGATAGCAGGGTATACTGGGCTGTAACTGGAGGTGCTGTTGGGAATGCAGGAATAGAGCTTTGAAGAAATAGATTAGAAGCAGGACTGGGTTTTTGCAAGCTGACTGAGGCTGGGTGCAACAAGTCTGACCATGTCTGCAGTATGGGTTGAACAAAGCTCAGCTTACACAAAGCCTGTCTGACCAAAGACTGCACTGCGTTTATACAATCCTTAATACCTGTGGTGAACATGCAGCATAATGCTCCAAGAAGCAATCCACATCATCCTGTAATAACCATACCAGGGACTCTACCTGGTCTGCACTAAATGGTGGCAAAAAGTCATTCCTGCTTTCAGGGGTACCAGATGAAGCCAACTCTACACAAACCTGAATCAAAGGTTGCACCTCAGAGAACTCTGTGCCCTGATCTACTAGAACATAAGCGATCCATATACATTCTAGCAGTTGATCCCGGGTATACTCCCTCAGAGCCTGATAAGCATATTCTCTGTCATCAAAAACCAGCAGCGACAAATACACAACCTCATCAAGATCCATCCTTCCCAGCAACAAGCCAAGATGGCTTCCCTGTGCAGCCACTTCTGGTCAGGATTGGCCTTGGTGTAATGTCAGGGCTCCCGGGTATGACCAGAGGTATGTGAACTGACGCAGGGAAACGCAGGCTTCAGATATGTTTTAAACAATATAGTTTATTAACACTAACAATATATAAACGCAGTGCAATACTAAAACATAACACAGTGCAAACGAACCCAAACCACCCACAGATAACAATACATACAATGCAAGCGTCGTCAGGCAGGCCGGGTCAATAACAATCGGGCAGGTAGGAACAGAAGGAGCAGGCAGAGAGTAGTCAGGTCACGAGCCGGGTACAGCAACTAACGGGCAGGTAGGTACAGGGGGTCAGGCAGAGAATAGTCGGGGTCACAAACCAGGGATCAAACAGGAGAAGTCAGCAGAGGTCCGGATCAGGCAGGGTCAGCAACGAATCAGTCAGACAGGGACACGGACAGGGACAGGGATGCAGGTAACAAGATACAGGGGCCCATAGAAAAACACACACCAAGGCCCAGACTGCAGGTCCTGGCCATCCCTTAAATACACCTGCATAATCAGCTTCAGGTGTTTGGCTGGCTGCAGGGATGAGTCTCTGATTGCTGGGAGCACACGCTGGCCAGCCCTAGTACTGCAGCCCACAAGGCAGGTGAGTCCCACCATTACTGGCAAGTCCATTCCTGACATTACGGTTGTGGGTTTAGTAACACTTTATGGCTTGGCTTAAAAGGACAATATATAACATGCAATGCCAAGCTGCAGTTTCTAAAGCGAACAAAATCCTCTCTTGTATTAAAAGAGGTATAGACTCGAGAGAGAGATATCATATTACCCCTGTACAAATCATTAGTAAGACCTCATCTGGAATATGCAGTTCAGTTTTGGGCACCAAATCACAAAAAAAGAACATTGGGGAACTGGAGAAAGTACAAAGAAGGACAACCAAACTGATAAGAGGCATGGAGGAGATCATCTATGAGGAAAGATTAGAGGAACTGAATGTATTCTCTCTTGAGAAGAGGCGATTAAGGGGGGATATGATCAACATGTATAAATACATCAGTGGTTCATACAGTGAGGTCATCACAGAGGACAAGGGGGCACTCTTTACGTCTGGAGGGAAAGAAAGTTAATCTCCAAACTCTGAAAGGTTTCTTCACAGTGAGAGCTGTGAAAATGTGTAATAGACTCTCTCAAGAGTTGGTTCTGGCCAGCTCAGTGATTGCTTGAAAAAAGGCCTGGATTCTTTCTTGGATACACAGAATATAACTGGATACTAACATTTCTAGGTAAAGTTGATCCAGGGAATATCTGATTGCCTCTTGGGGGATCAGGAAGGAATTTTCTTTCCTTGCAGGAGCAAATTGGTTCATGCTTTGCTCATTTTTTTGCCTTCCTCTGGATCAACTGTGGGTATATGATTATAACTTTTTTTTTTTTTAATGGTTGAACTGGATGGACTTTTTTTCTTTTTTCAGCCAGACTAACTATGCAACTATGTAATATCCCTATGCTGGCAGAAAAGGTCAGCAGCCTTTTTCTGAATTTACTCCTGCAATGGACACACAGGAGCTGATGGCTGCATGTCTTCCTAGAAGGAGGTTAAAGATACACAGAACTGCTGAGACAGATAGTTTCGTATGGACTGTGCTTCGCTTTCTGAACTGCTGTGACTTGTAGTACCATATTGTTTATGTGGCTTCCTGGACACTGGGACTCTGCTTTCCTCTCTGCTCTTCCTGCAACTGCTGTTTGTGTGGTCCGGATGCTGTGGTCAGGGCACACAGCCACTAAGAACCCGTGATATGCCTATGAAAGACCTCTGCCCACCAGACTTCCTTTCTCCTGCCACGCTGCCTGGACTTCCTCAGCTGCGGCTGCTGTTGATTGGTGAGTCCCTGAACCCGTGCTGTATCTATTGCTGCATGTCCCTCATTGTGCCTGGATTGTGGTCCTGAACTCTGTGCCTGCTGTATACAATTGTTGCCCTGTGTGCTTGCCTGTACCCTTGATGTACCATACCCTGCTGCCCAGATCCCTGCCCTGTCCTTTACTCAACCCACTTGTTTGCCCGGATCTCTGCCCTGTTTGGGTCTCCCTTTCTGCCTGGATTTTTGCCCTGTTCTGGACCTACCCCTGTCTGTCCGAATCTCTGCCCTGTTCTGAACTTAACCCCTTATCTGCCTGGGTCCCCGTTCCTGAGTATGGGTTCGCCATTTCTTTTAGGCCATCCTACATGGACTCTATGTGTGGTATTACATTGCTACCCATTGGACTGTTTCATTGTACTATGTCTTGCTACTCTTGCTGTGCCCTTACGTCCCCCAATTAACGCTCGCACAACAGGTTTTGTGTGATCTGCCTCCGTGTGCTCTCTCTTTGTGCTCCTAGTTCATTACAGGGAGTGAGGGGGTGAGTGTGTGACACAGAAGGTTTTCTACCTTAATGCATAGAATACATTAAGGTAAAAAACCTTGAGGCTTTAGGACCACTGTAAGCTGGGGCACATGGAGCCTTAATAGGTAGTGCATACTGCAATCTGACTGCTGTAGCTTATGTAATGTAGAACCACAGAACACAAAAAACTTCCTGGTATGTACTCTAATATGCGAGTTTAAAGTTTTTCTATATTAACGGATTTTTAGTTTTACAAGTTAAAGAGCAATGGCTTGATACAAAGATAGCAAAGAATGTGTTGTTGGACAAGGATACAGTCATAGGCTTGTGGCTGAGGCCAGGAGGTTGATACCCAAATTGGAAAAATGGCACACAAAGTTCAAAGAAAGGTTGAAAAGGTATTATCTTATTGAGGTGCAGATAAAACAGCAAATTGAACAACAATCAGCAATGACTAGCACTTGTAATGTGGTTGTGGCAACCGCAGCAGAACACTTAAAGTAACAGTTCCAGACACTGTTATAGTAGCACACACAGGAACACTGTCAGTACAGGTGCAGTAATGCTGATAGTAGAAGGCACAGTAATGCTGGTGGTATATCGGTAGATCTTCAGCTTCAAAGATATAGCCTACATTATAGAAGCAGCATCTGCAAAAGGAGCGGCTTCCAGGCAGAGTGGCGGCACAAGCGGCTGTCAGGGAAGGCTTGCCTATAGTACAGATAATGTTCAGAGGTGCATACGTGTGTGCAGGCGCAGGCCAGCAAGTATACATGCAGATGTGCACAGGCAAGTGTATATGTAAACACACATGCCTGGACTTACTAATACTGGCATCAAATTTTCTATTTAAACTGGACTGTGGTGCAGGATGTTTGGCCTACAGCATTTTCGTGTTCCTGTTGCCAGTTCCTGTGATCGACTCCTGTTACTGACCCGGTTTGCCTCTGACCACGCTTGAACTCTACAAAGGCTGACCTCAGCCTGTGTTCTGACTATTCTTCTGCCTGTTGCTTATGCCTGATCTGCCCATCTGTTACTGCCAAGTGTCTGCCAGTTTGGGGTCTACCACATCTGCCCGCTATCAACTGTCTCAGTCATCTAGTTCATCCTTGAAGAAGCACTGGCTACCTACGTGCGCTGTATGCTGGACACCCTACAGGCGATCATACCTGAACTTGCCCTCATGACCACTGTCCCACTACCAGGGGTTCCTGAGATTTAACAGAGGCCTTCCTCTTCACATCAAGCTCTACAACCATATACATGACAGCAGCACTTGGAAGAGCTATGCAGGTCACATGAAGTAGTATTGGAGACTGGATGGATGACAGAGCAGACAGCGGTGTCCCTAATCTCTCCCTTCTTGAGTAGGAAACGTTTCCTGAGTCTGTTACACTGTCCCTAGCAAGTGTGGCTCCATTCCCTACTCTAGCTTCTTACAACTTCACGCCAAATACAGAAGGGCACTGCTATTTATTATCATTGCCCAAACTAAAGATGGCCACCAAGGTTACCCAGTGTTGCAGAGTCCAATCAGACCACTGCTTTGCTGGTGATACCTATGGGGTCTACAGAGGAACATTGTTCCTCTCATCCTCCACTCGATCTGTACAGTGGCACAGTCACACAGCATCACATACAGAATGGATGATAGACTGCACCTGCTACAGGTGATGGAAAGACATGATGGCTGAATCAGGTACATACATAAGGTGAGGGAAGCGACCTTTATGACCACGCTTGGGCACTGTGCAAAGCCAGACCACCCATGTTTATGCTATGTCTATGATTTAACATAGTCTCTATTCTGTAAGGTTAACCCACAATATAAAACTATTTACCATGAAAGTTGTAGGGTGGC